AATTTGCAACATTATGAATCCTATGAAATCTTATAGTTAGACAAATTTGTGCTCTGAAATGGTAAAAGAGAGAAATGAATCACACCATGATCCCAAACATGCATTAAGAATATGCTCCTTCAACAACAGATAGACTCCAAGACCAGTAGGTGGAACGTTTTGTTCTTCCTAGTGCAAGACTCTTGGAATATCTTGATATTTTATGTAAATTATTTCTCTGCAATATCAGATTCTAATATTTTACTGCTTTTGGCTTGGCATATACATCACAATCCCATGTAGGTGTAGCAACCAAAGGAAAAGACATGTGAATTTCAAAAAGGCATGAAAAAGGAAAAGAAAAGACAAGAAAAGAAAGGCAGCATATATAAATATGATGACTTTTGTATGGATCATGCTGTTATGACATGCAATGCAATGCACAATACTTCAAGTTTAATCCATATAAAGAGTTCAGGAGATTCCAGAGACCTAGCTATCATAGTTTTGATTTTCTGTGGAGTGGTCAATTGAAATGAAGGTCTTCTCCTCTTCAATCTCATCATGACTTCCCATCTAGGAAATCATTGTATTTTCTTGGAAATGCAATTTCAGAAACAAAAAAAACTCATCTGGACAACATGGGATTAAAGCTGTCTAGTCCTATCTTCTTATGCAAAAAGCATTTGATGGGATTTGTGAAATTGAAGAGAAAATGGGGGTAAATAAATAGTGAGAAATTCCACTCAAAGAAAAAAGAGAAGAAAAGACTAAAGGTGTTTTATTAGGTAAAGTAGAGTGGGGAAGGAACCAAAATCAGGTTTTATGACAAAACCTTTTATTGGTAAGAGAATTTCTTAGAACTAACCAAAGCTTATTATGGGATTTAGGCTGTCTAGTCCTGTCCTTCCCTTCCGCTGCAAAAAGTTAGCTTTTGATTGGATTTGTGAAATTGAAGAGAAAATGGGTTATGGCTATAGTGGGTGAGATTAGTATAGGAACTATATTATATGCACACACTCAAAGCAAAAGAGAAGAAAAGACTTAAAGGCCTTTCATCACCCGAAGGATCAAGTAAAGTTAACAAAATCAAGTTTTTTTGTCCAAAGCTTTAGAATTGCACGATTTACTTGATGAATATGATTATAAAAAGAAAAAAGTATTTGAAGGACAGAGATTTAAGCACACCAAGAACACTGGGATGTAATTGAAGCACAGGTAATTGGACATGATAACAAATATATATATCACAATTAATCACTACAAGAAAAATTGCTAATAGTCATTGACATTAGTTGTACAAGATGAGGTGGGTAAAAGGCACTAGTAGTGGCTAGTAGTGGCTAATAGTTAACATCGACAATTATTGGTGTCTGTGTGCTATTAGGCGCTAATAGTGCCTTTAGCCACCTTATCCTGTACGACTAATTTCAGTGACTAATGAGGTTTTTTTCTCGTAATACTCTTCCCAACATTATCAATAACCCCATCACTAACTTTGTATCTTCTTCTGAATCAACTGCATCTTTAATTTCATCCCATTATATATACAGTGCAATTGTACATGATCTACAGCCTACAGAGAAACCTTAGGCTTAACATTATGGGATTTTTGTATGTTTTTATGGTCAGGACAAATAAGCAATAGGAATGCTTCTGAGTTCATAGGTCCTTTATTGATGTTGAATAGTAAGTTATCTGTTCAATTACACCAGAAATACTATTGTTATAGCTACCTATAGGCTATCATCTATGCTTAGCTCTCTAGTGCTAAATCCAAATTCTACACAATGTATCTGTTTTGTGCATTGTAAAAAAAAAAGGGTTTAAATCATGAATTAAAAGTTATAAAAGAAGAAAAAAAAACACATTCTGGTGCAAGTTTGCAAACTTTTGCTGCTGTCACAGATCTTTTTCATTACTTGGACGTGTTTAGTGTATGCTTTCACGCTTTCCATTTTCTATCTGCACTAGCATACTTTATTTTAATTTAGTACCTAGGTTATAGCAGTTTGCCATATTTGCGTCTAAATTATTGCTTCCACAGAAAAAGTAAGAAAAAAAGAAACATTATATAAGTTGATCAATATTATATCGCACATCTTCAATGTGAAACATGTACTCTTTTTCTCTCCATTTAATGATGATATACTTTCTTTATTTCTTTCAAGATTTTGTCCATATTTGATATTCCCTTACATTGAGACCCCATCCCCCATGCTATGTTATATAATACTACCCTCTCTGCAAATGTTTTTGCGCCTGTGAGAGGCTTTTTTTTAAAAAAAAATTAAATTTATTTTAGAATTAAAAATGATAATTGATAGTTGTGTTACATTGACAAAAAGAGTATATTCAAATGGATTATTACTTTTGCTCTCTAAGTTTGTTTTACAAGCGATTGGGGGAGGGGGTTTATACAATTATTAAATGGGTGTTTGGGAGTTTTGAACCTCTATCCACATGAGTGAAAGTGAAATAGATCAACCAACAGAGCTATACCCACTGGCTTTACTCTCTCTACTTTTGGGTTGCTTTTTTATATTTATTTTTATAAAGGACTTGGGTGATAAATGTGTCAAGAATTAGTTTTCGCCCATCTCTATTTTCCTTATGCATGGGGATCCCTTTACCAAATAAATTATTTCCATGCTAATTCAAAATAATCATAACCTATATATATAGATATGCCTCCTCCAAAACAAATATATATTAGTTTATCCATCCCCAAAAGATATTTAAGGACATCTTGTAATAAATTACTATTAAACCAATTGGGTTTGATCCTAGCAAATCGATGTCTCTCGAGACAAGAATTTGGTAGTTCGCACATTGAGACGTAATAGGGAGACAAAGTTGTCCCCTTTGTGCTGGCCATGCCAATAGAAGGACTCAACAATAGAGAGAACAAATTTATACCTTCATGGAGATTCTTGGCTCTGCTACCATATACCATTCTCTTCGTTTTTCTTTTCATTTTTTAATGCGACATGAGGTATCTTAACCTCATTCATCCTTAATTAGGGTAAATGAAATGGTTTAAGGGGTTCTTAACACATTTTCCAGCTCTTTTGGGGGATTCAGAAATAGAAATTCTAAGCAACCAGGGGATTTCACACACAGCAGTTGAGATTCTCCTTTAAGTGTCGGCCTAAAGCCAAAAATGAGAAAAGGGAAAGATAAAAGAACGAAAGAAAAATAAGTTTATATATATAATTACATATATACATATATGTATAGAGAGTACGTACTACTAGCATAATCATACATAGATGCATGGTGGGGACTAGCATCTACCTTCTATGCAATTATTCTTTTTCTTTACCTATCTTTTAATTAAGAGTTTGGTAGGGTAGCATTTATGTAAGTGATTCTAAAACCAGTTGGTTGTGGGTGGACGACGAGTTTATATTTTAATATATTCGTCAGTTACGGTATAACTGCGTTGATAACACCATATAATAGTGTTTTGGTTACACCAAATAATTTGCTTAATGTAAACGTATTAAGGTCAAAAAGCAAAAGGACAATTTATAGGAACCTGCTGTGTAAAACCAAGACATGGGAATGTGGGATGAAGAAGAGATGATGTCTCAGTGGGGTTTTTTAGTGGTGCAGGCAAATGGTGATTAGTGCTAGCTGTGAGTCAGTGACGGAACACTGGCTGGGATATATAACATGGAGAACAAGAAAAGAATCACAGAGCTGGACAGATTATTAATGAATAAATTAACTGATTAATTAATTAGGGTACGTAGGGTATTTTACGTTCTGTTAAATCTACCTAGAGAGAGTACAATGAAACCATACTAACTGTCAAAGACTGGCAAAAACTTACCTCATCATCATAAAAGTGAAAGACAGAGTTTGAGAGCTCATGACCTGGGAAGGGAAGGGAAGGGAAGGGAAAGGAAGGGAGACGGAGACATAAAATGTGAAGCTGAATTGGGACACACGCTGAACCCACCAAACAGTACATACTCTGTATATATTTGCAGCTTGATATGACATTTCAAGACTTCTTTCTCTTCTTTTCTCTTTTGACTGCACTACAGACACAAATATTACTCTCACTCTCTCTCTCTCTCTCTCTCTCTCTCTCTCTCATAAAGCTGCCAACAAGATCCATTATATCCCTTCCAACCTCTGTAGTCTGTAGGATATATAGTGAAAATAATAAATAAGGTTACAGAAATAAGAACTAGCTACTACTGTAGTGTAGTGTGTTATTAATTGCACATCCACCTCTCTCTCTCTCTCTCTCTCTCTCTCTCTCTCTCTCACTTGCATGAACCTAATCAATATTTGATTTGAAGTTGAATTTAATCTTATTAAATATAAACGTAGAAGGACCGTATGCACTCATAAGAAAAAAAGTATTCATTCCTCCGAAAAATCGTATTATGGGAAAATCAGGAAACGATCTCTCATTTTTTGAGAGGGTTACATGGGCTTCACATTTCTCTTGATATATATGCTTAGGTAAACGTCGGAAACATGTACTTTTCAATTCTCCAAATAAGGAGGCCAAAGGAACAATGCATGAACTTTTCAATTCAATCCCATGAACTTATTTTTATTGCTTTTTCAATCACATTTCTCTTGACATATATATATATATATATATATATATATATATATATGTCACTGTCTAATGTTCATATCCTTGAGAAACTTTGAAGAATACAAGCTTGGCTTGGGATCTTCTGAGTTGCGTGTATATATATGATATGACTTGAGCTGCTTAAGCCTTTTGCCCTTTCGTTGTTTTTTATGTTTCCACAACTAGCAAGCAAGTCCTATATATCCACCAAAGGGTTTTTACTATAAATTTGGAATTTAGAGATAAGAAAAAGTGGGATATACTTGTTGGAAAAAGGAGAGCATATTGTACCATTCATTTTCCTCATGGCCATGTATAGCTAAGATATGTAAATTTCACCCAAAAAAACTGATGAAAAGAAATTGCCAGAGAGCATGAGAGAGAGCGAGAGAGAGAGAGAGAGAGAGAGAGAGAGAGAGAGAGAAATTACAGGAACTTGGTTTGTCATTGATGTATGAGGAGCCATTGCTAATTAAGGAAGCTTTTTAAAAAATAAGGCAAAAAAAGAAGAAGCAAGAACAGAAGAATGAAGAAAAGAGCATAGCTAGGCTAGCTAGCTTCCGATCATAAGCAACTTTTTAGCTGCCCATCCATAAAACGTTATTCTAAACCAAGGTCACTAACTAGCTCACTGGGAAGAGTAATTTTCCTCAATTTCAGAGGCTGCATCATCATCTTCTTCAAAACAGTCAATGCCATAAGCTGCATGGCCATGTCCAAATGCCTTGATATGATCTTTGAGAGACCTCTTGTGCTTGAAATCAGAGCCACAAGTGCAATACCAAAGCTTCCCACAATTCTTCTCATGGGTTCTCCAATCACCTCTCACTGCAAAAGCCTTGCCACATTTTCTACACATGAAAGGCTTGATCCCATGCTTTCTCTTGTAATGAGTTTGGAGGGTTCTGAAGTCTTTGAGAGGCTTTGACCTTGGATGGTCAATGTTGTTTCTGCAACCTGGTGCACAGCAATAGCAAGGCAGTCTAAGCATGGCTGTTGGCTGTGTTCCTCTTAGAGATTCTGGCCCTTTTCTGTATTGAGATCCATGCCCCCACATATGCATCTACACATATAATTTTATTAATTAGTCAAGCAAAAACCCACATCAAGCTGATGAGGGAAGAAAATGAAAATGTAAAGGAACTAGCTTTCACCGAATAAAAAGTTGGACTTGTTGTGCATAAGATTCGGATGTCTTTGAAATGTTGATTCTTTTTAGACTTGTTTGAATATAGCTAGCATTTGTAATTTGTTCTTTTTCTAAAACAAACATGGGTGATGGGTCAAGGTGTTTTCAAATGAAAAGATAAAGCAAACGTTATATATAGCACTGTTGATGATACTAAGAAATTTATTGGTTCCTCGGGGTTAGATGAGGAAGATCATCTGATTCTGAAGGCAGGAAGAACTTGGGTTTGAGACAGCTGCCAAGCCAATGTGAGAGACACAAACTTCAAGGAGCAAAAAGCACAATTGCTGTGTAGTTCAATCACATAAAGAGAGGTGCTAGAGCTGATCATAATTATTCTCAGAGACTCAGTCTTGGACCAGGTAGCTAGCTGAGATTTATTCTTACTTTTTAAATCCCAGAACCCACAAATCATGCAAAAAGAGGGAAAAAAAAATGAGTGGCTGGTGTGGTGATCATAATATAAAGTGCCATTCTGGACATACAAAACAAAAGAAAGTAAAAATGATTTAAAGTTGCAAGAAGAAGAAAAGGGAAACCCTAAGGACCCATATAGTACCACTGCTCTTTCCTCTCACCAGTCCACAGCATATATATATATATATATATATATAAAATAAAAGTTAAAAGACTAAAATCAAGCTAAAAAAGAAGTGTACAAAACAAAGTTAGATAGGAATGGATTTTCTCTTTCTCAGTAAAATCAAGAGAATATGATCAGAAGCAGAAAGTGATGGGAGCTAGGAAAACAAAAAGTGAATACTTTTTTATTTATAAAAATAAATAAATATTTCACACAACTTTTTTTTTCCCCCTCTAGCTAAGAAATCATGGTACAATTCAGACATATATGAAAGCTAAGATATTGTTGTACCTGCATGTTATTGTATCTGTTGAACGTCTTGAAGCAAAGAGGGCATGAGAACTGGGTTGGACCAATTAAAATCTGAGCAGGAGTAGGGATCCAATACTGGCCCTTGTTGAGTCTGTTTGGGGCATACCCAGCTGAAGCAACAGTCACATCTACTACTTCTTTATCTGATGAGATCTCTGGGGAAGAGAGCCTAGAGATCAAATCAGCTGATAGGGTCCTGCTTGGAAGCCCTAAATGTAAAGCCACAGTAACAGTTTCATCATCTTCATCTTGATCAACAATATCAGCAGAGCTGGAGACGACCAAGCTTTGGTGATCAGCTGAGTCTTTTCTACTGTTGTTGTTGTTGTTGTTGTTTTGATGATCAGCTTCCATGGCATTGAAAGAGGGTTCTTGCAAGTCTTCATGAGGATGATGGTGTCTTGAAGGGCTTAGGCTGAGGAGGGGAAGGGCTTCTCTTAGAGGAGGTGAGGGAGGTGATGATGAAGAAGAAGAAGACTGGTGGTGATTAATGAAAAAGCTATGATTGTGCACCATCAAGTTATTTGATGAGCAGAAATTGTTGTAGTCTCTATAATTAGGAGGAGCATGGAAATTATATGGATTAATAGAAGGAGGTGTGGAGGGGGAGGAGAGGTGGTGGAGAGGGTTGAGATTGAACCAGCCATTATTGAAGTAATTAGAGTAAGGATCTGTCATGGTGATGATGATGAGAGGTGGGAGAAGCTAGAGAATGGATGGCTTGCTCGGATTGGGTTAATATACACACAGAAGGGAGAGAGGGAGAGAGAGAGAGAGAGAGAGAGAGAGAGAGAGGACCAAAAGTTAATAATAAGGTGGAGGAGAGCGGAGACCTATTGAACAAAATCACCAACTCAAAAAGAAGTAGTGTAGTGTGAGGGTGAAGGGTTAAAGAAATGTCAAAAATCAAGGTTGATAAAGCAAACCCAACTGAGTAAAAGGAGAGACAAGAAATCACTTGTGAGGTGTGACCAAACAGTGACAAAATATGCTAAAGAAGAGAGAGAGAGATATAATCTTGGGACTTGAAAGGACAAGTCACTTATTGAACACTGTGTACAAACGGTATACAAGTATGTGTACATACTAGCTATATGGAAAGGAAGAAAAGAAAATTTACCTCACCAACCCAAGGACTCAACTTTGATGATGAACAAGGCATAACAAGGGCAAAAGACAAAGTTGGTAATTAAGATTGTGGAGCTTGTCCCCCATCATCCCATTCCTCCTGCTCCCATTGAATATTGATGAGAGAGAGAGATTGTACAATATACAACCATCCATGCATACAGCAGAACTGAAGCTAGCTAGCTATAAGCTAAGGGTTGTAATTTTGAGATAGATGTTATGTAAGTACACATATACCATATTATTTTAAAAAATTAATTGAATTTTCTGTGGCTTTGGGAGATATATATTTATATATAGTTAGATCCAAACCCAGCATTTGCTTTGGTGGGCGGGCCATGGTCGGCTAAATTGGCTCCCCACGAGCACAGAGAGATATTGTCCTCATCTCATCTCATCACTGTTTGCTTGCTTGTTTACATGCACAACAACAATGTTACTGTTTCTTCTCTCTCTCTCTCTCTCTCTCTCTCTCTCTCTCTCTCTCGGCTGATCTGCTATAACAGCAGCTGAAGCCCATTTGGCTTTATTTATTTTTTCTTCTAATTAATACGTATAATGGTATGGGCCAACAAACTGTTTCTGCGTATTGAGCCGACACTGGTAGTAGTATTGACCTTTGACAAAAATTTCGTGTCGTGAAATTACATTTGTTTACTAAAACCTTTTATGAAATAAATATATATGTGTCCCCATATCATCCTAAGCCTTAAAACATCTATGTCTAAGAGAAAATATATATATTAAAATTACAAAATCAAAAGGGCAGCTTAAGATTCTTGTCACATCCCTATTCATAAATTTACAATTGTTCTTGTAAAATGTTCAACCTCTCAAGATCTGGTATTCAAAGTAGAAATGTACAAATTGAAGGTGGTTCGAAAATGTATTGATGCTCTTAAAGTATATTTTTGCTGGAGGAAAAAAAGATAAGGTAAGAAAAAACCTTTTTCCATTTCCGTGGCAATTATGCTATTAGATCGGTTTGTCTTGTTTTGTTTGGGAAGAAGACTCACTTGCGAAATGTTATTGGGACAAAGAACAAAAGAACATTAATTCAGGAAAACAAGTTTGCTGCAAACTCTGAGAAGCATGGCATTGGCTACCCACATCACTCCAATTCCGTACCAAATTGCCATACTTTCTAGTCCCGTATACATTTCGCGTACAATATTATAGAGACTTGGTGTGTGAATGAATATCACATTCAAAGTCACATTTCAGTGCATGGGACCCTCTCAATAATAGAGAAGAGCGATGCTAATGCTATCAATTGTCGACCACGTGCGCACACGTGAGTGACGGTAATCCGTTAATGCATGTAAGTGAATCTCACAATATATCAATGATTGAAAATCGCTTATGTAGTGCTGAAAAAAAAAAAAAAAAAATATCGCTTATGTAGTGCGTGAACGATTGTTGCTAGTAAAATTATATAGAAGAAATTAATGGGTTGAGGAAATTGATTGATGATTGATATCTGTCATCTGTGAGCATTAACATGTGGATAACTTTTTTTAATTTCCTTTACTTTTTAACGAATAAAACGTGGGGACAATCTGGATGATTGGGCATTCTTTAAGCAATTGGAGCCAGAAGAACAGTAGGTATGAATGAGCTTTTGTATTTTATGAAAAGCAAATGCCTTTTCTGCCAGTATAAGTATTTCGTATTTGCTAAACAAATACAAAGACGAGTCATCTTTTAGCTTTCTACCTGGTGATGTAGGCTGGTCCTATAAAAAAATGAATAATCAAATTAGGGCTCAGGTCAACGCAACCAAGTATGCCACGTATTAAGAAATTGGACATGGGCCAAACCTAAGTCATGTCAAGCCCAATCCGGAAAACTTTGGGCCAACCTTGTTTGTTTTTTTATCTTCTCTCTTTTAAATCTTTCCTTTTTCATTATTACAATGTATGGATATTATTTTGTAGTAAAAAGAAAACGGATTAAAGAGTGATAATGAAAATAATTTCATTAGAACTGGGTCGTGAGTATTAAGCCTGACCCAGATCATGAGCAAGGAAGTAAAATGGGGGGTGAAAGCGAAATAATATCCCCATTTGACAGAGGATAAGATGAAGGCAAAGCAACCCAATGAAACAAGACCATTATGAAGAAAAGCATGTACAACATCAAGGAAAAAGAATAATAAATGAATTAACACACAGCCAAACAAAGTAACACGGGCCCTAGTTCCGGTGTCCAACCCCAAAGTGAAATCTCTTCGTATGCTTATCGTTAAATGCATATTCGAGACGAAGAGGCCCCAATGGTGAGTCCAATCTGATGCCAAACCCGTAACCGTACCCGCTTCCAGGCTTCAGCCTAGCACCCGCAGGATCACCTGATCAAAAACAAAACATAACCACCTTTAAGAACATTGCCTGTAAGCAAAAGGCAAAGCTAATGCGAAAAAAGTTTAAATTTATGCGTGTAGATAATCTTGGGACAAGATGGTTCTTTATGGTTCCAAGGATTCACGAGTGAATAGTAAATTAAACTATGGGAAACCTACCAGGAACACTGGGGCCTGATCCAAGATCCGTGCCATAGTCAGCAAAAATAACTCCTCCAACTGGCCCTATCTGCAACAACAGGACATGACATGATGATGGATCAAGGAATCAATGTTTTCTTCAAATATATAGAGAAGACAGTTTCCCACAGTATCAATTGTTATGATTTGAATGCATAGTAAAAACAACGGGAAACTTCATTTGCTACATCAAACATGATATGCCCAGCACAGATGCTTGTAAAAGCCCAAAAAAGAAAAAGAAAAGAGAGCCCATTTTCACCACATACCATGGGAAAAGAAATTTCTCCGGAGCCAACTGTATAAGATCTACCTGAGCCCACAGCACCTTCTTCGTAACCTCTTACACTATTTGTTCCACCGATGACAAATGCTTCATGTGGTGGGAAGTTACCAACCACATGGCCACCAGACAAACTAGCAGTGCAAAGCATAACAAAGTCAAAACCAAATTAAAGCATCATTTGCTTAATTTCAAAATATATAAATTACAAAAGCAAGTTGGGTCAAATTTTGGGTGAAACTATAAAACTCATAATGTTTTATAATATTCGATTGCTCCTACTCTTGACAAGTACAAAACGGCCATACCTTAAAAGAAAGCGAGCAGGGCCAAGTTCTAGGTCTGTCCTGGCACGAGCATTTATTCTGTTGAAAACCAACCATTCAGGCAAAACAGGAAGGCCTTGTTCCATGTTGAATACCAGCTGCAGAGGGCCATAAATGAGTATCAAAGTACAGTGGAAGTTCAGAAAGGAAAAAATAGTGAGTCATAATTTGTGAACACACTGTGATTGACTAACCATTGAAGACCCATGGTCACCAGAACCTGTGTAGACACTCTCAAGTTTAGCAAGTAGCATATCGTCATGGTTATTGCCACTACAAAACAAAAATGGCAAACAAAGAGCAGAAGATTAGAATCATGGATCACAGCAAAACTTAAACTAAGATATGGAAACTAAACTGAAGTAGTTTGATTTTTATTTGATTTCAGACTCGCGTACCTTGCAGTTAGGGGACTGCTGAAGAAATCCTTGATAATAGGATTTCCTTTCTCATCACGAGCACCAGCATGCTGGTAAAATAGTCCAGAATATGGGTAGTTAATGTTACAAATAAAATACAACCAACTCAACATAAATCTCATAAAAAACCTTCCAAGTTCAAAACCACCACTGAATGTTAAAACTCATCCAAGAAACACACACACAAAAAAAAAGAAAAACAGCCACAGGGGAGATAAAAGCACAAGTACCTGAAAGATAAGCCCTGCTGTTCCACTCAACTTTGGCCTTATGGGTCGGCTGAATTCAATACCAGCTGTGATGCGACCAATGGTCAAGTTGCTACCATCTTGTTGGTTACCATGGATAAGTGTTCCAGGGGTTCTTGAATTCTAACAGAAAAGAATTGGTCAAGCGTTTCGCCATCAAAAAATTTCAAGTAGTGAATAGTCAAACAATAGTACTTTATACAATACAACATTAACGTACCTGAACCATTATAGTCCTGGACGTCCGCATATCATCTCCTGCAATCCATGGATCTGAGTAGTTTATACGAAATATTGAGTCTATCTGGCCCCTCTCCAGAGAAACATGGAGCTTTTGATTTCTTCCAAAGAGATTCCTATGAGAATATGCAAAGCTGCAAGGCAAGAAAGAAATTTATATCAAAAGTGTAATAATGAAATCATAAGAATCTAGTGCAACACTAGATGACATGCTGATAGTGAACACTAACACTATTTGAACATAGACACATGTATATTTGTATGTATATGTAGAAAGACATAATGCTTACAGAATCCAGATGGTCTGTCACTTCATAAAATATTAATAATAGAAAGCATTTTCAATACACAACTTTTTATGTGCAGTAGATTACCTTCCAATGAGTCCTGAAAGAGGGCCGCTTGTAATTCTGAAATTAAATAACAGAAGTTAACATTTTATACCACAAAATCTAAAACATAAACTCATATATTGACCACACAAAAAAAGTCAATTTGTATGTTCCACTCATTTGACTTACCCACTAGATATACCACCACCAGCAGAAAAACCTCCACTTGGTCGCTCAACAACATTCATGGAGATATCAACCTTACCAGCATCTACAATTTTGCAGTAGTTTTAGCAAGCAACGCATTCAACCACATGCATGAACTCCACACAAACATGTATAAATTTTTAAAGATAAACACAAAAAAAAAAAAAAAAATCATTGAACACTAACAAGATGGAAAATATGTTTTCCAACGAAAATATTTGCAAAAAAGATTTCTTTACCACCTGCTGGCTGGGGTATAATGCTAACATCTTCCATAAGTCCCATCGTCAATACAGTCTCCACATCTCTTTTTCCTTGAAGCATACTGTAGACCTACATAGGTATCATCCCAAGTAGCAACCCTTAAAAGTTGACATGTCACCACTAAATTTAGTGCATTTCTTTAAGGAAGAACCATTTAAGCATAAATACTTGATGGCAAAGTAAAAGCACAATGTTCCCAAAAACCCACTAAGATCATTATTATATAGAGAAGATACGTCCAGGAAAGTACCTGACCCTTCTTTGTAGTAAGTTGGCGAAGTATTGTTTCGGGCTTTGTCTTCCCTATAGTTGGTTCCCCACTAAGAAGAGCACAGAAGAATTAGCAAAGAAATCATTTCATAGCCACTTTTTCAAGAAAATTTGAACATTATCCATGCATGCAACATCTGTAAATGCGAACTCGATTAAACCTGTAACTTACGTCTTCCTGTCAAGGAACCGTATGGAGATATTATTGACCTCCGCTTCTGATACTTGTAACTTAAGAACACCCCCTGAGAGACTCTCAACAGCTGAAACCTATAATGTAATCAAGAAAAGAGCTGTCTACTATTATGAAAAATCTTGATAAAAAATAAAGCACAGTGAAGTCTTCACTGAACCAGTTCTACATTCTACAGCACTAGAAATACTAACTTCATCTTTGTACATGCCGAAATTCAAAACAATTATAAAAAACTTATAGAGAAGAAACCAACCATTGCAAAAAGGCCCCGATCCATGTACCAATCATTGATGGAAGATATAACTTCATTCAAACGCTTAAGATTAATAACTTTTCCTGCACAACTTGACACCAAAATCGAAAATCAATATAGGACTCTTTGATCACACTTAAGTGGCACACCAGAGAGAGGCAAATGATCTTTCGTGCAAAGAGCATGCATGAACAACCCTAAATATGTAAGAACGTTGAAGAAAAACCTACCATATCCATCACAGAATGCATCCCTTATAAACTTCACTGGAAGAACATTTGCCCCTTCACATACTAGCCCTTGGAATTCCTGGTTTGGTTTTACCTAGCACCATTAAAAGATTATGATACTATTAGTCATAGTTTCAAGCCAAATCAAATAGGAAACATGTTCTCATACATGATTATGACATGAGTTTGCATCATCTATGAAACAATAACACAAAACCATGATTGCTCGCTTTCTATTTCAAATTTATTTATTTTTAGGCCAAATCACTCTATCTAATGTAAAGACAATAAAATCAATACAACAAATTCATAAAAGTGATGAACTCAACACAACAATAAAAAAGCACCTAGGTAATTAGCATGAGGTCATAAGGACATAACTGAAATTGAAAATGACAAATGAATACAAAAATAATACAAATAATAAACACTAAATGCTTTTGGTTCACGACAAGCATTAGTTTCAATTTCTTTAGGCTCTTCTCCTATATTTATTAGGATTATAAACAGAAAAAAGCGCAGAACGCAATTCAATTCGACAACAATGCATATGCTTGTACCTGAAAGATCAATCGGATACCGTCTCTCGTATCTACAGCGACTGGCATGCAAGAGCAGAAGTATCCACTATCGAAGATTCTCTGCACGTCCTCTTGGACCTCGCGCACAGTGAGCGCCGAGTTGGGTCGGCAAGCCTTGAGAGCCGCCAAGGCCTCCGCTTCCAGGTATTCTCCTCATCCTTGATCACAACCTCAATGAAAAAATCAGCATACTTGAGTAACACTACTTGTGACATCTCCCTCCAGAATAAACATAATCCTCCACTCAAGCCCCGGGGTTCAACAACATGCATATATTGCATACCAATTTGTCGCTTCAAATAACTATAACGGTGACTCCGATTTTTTGTTTCTAAAAGGACCACTATGTCGGGAGTTTGGAGCCTCACCTGCTCCTTAAGACTTGAAACTGTCAGAACACTCCCAATACCCTGACAGTTCCAAACAATGATCCTCCTGATGCTCGCGGAGACCGACGTACGGTCTTCGCTTCTTGAATTAGAGTATCGTAAAAAATTAACTCCCTTCGAGATCCCATGCTACCAGCCCCAACACACTCTGACGCCAATCGATTATCAGCACACATCCGTTTATCCATTCTGCCAAGCTCCTCTTCTTCTCTTCCCCTCTTACTCCGAGAGCCTATACCACCTGTAGTAGAGCAAAAAGGTTGTCCAAATATAAGTGGCCCCAGATTAAAAGGATCAGACCCTTGCATCAATGCCCCATATTGAAGCCCAAATCCCCCTCCTACCATAGCTTGGTTGTCTAAGGCCTCATATGTTGTTCCTTGCATTGTGGGTCCTTTCTCCACCACGGTCGCCGTATTGAAATCAATATCGATCCCACTGTCGCCAGAATTTTGGACTGTGGATGATGCCACCATGATTCCCTGTGGCCCCAGAATTCCAGCCTCCCATGCAAGCTCCCGAATCGGCCTACTCCGTTCTTCAGCCTCCCTTACTGTTCGGATTCTCTTAGCTAGCGTAGAATCCCCGGATTTGGACTTGCAAAGGGGTATCACCGTCTCCTCTCCATCTCCCCCCCGCTGAGCCCCCCGTCTTACCCGCCAGTCTCTGTAGTCAGCTTTGCTACCCCCCGTACCATCTTTCATACCCCTTGGAAAAAAAGACCTACGCCTGTGAATATGCCCAGCAGCATTGTCCCCAGAAACCCAAGGGCTGGAGTCAGAAAACTCTTTTTGTCCATGGAATCGGAGTTTTCGTCCGCGCAAGTCCTCACTTGCCTCTAACCCTGCAAAAGCCATCTTCTGATCCTGCATATTTTGAGAACTAGCCGCCGACGCCAGTTTCTCAACACAAATACGACTGGGATGTCCCAAACACCCACAGAGAAAGCAGTATTCGGGCAAAAATTCATAGCGAAAGTTCACCCAAATTGCACATTCTTCAGGAAACTCAACGAACGCACCCCGCATAAGCGGTTGCCGCACATCTATCCGAATGCGCACGCGTAGGAACCGCCCTATACATTCGTCCCCCTCTGTATGGTCAATGTCCAGCACTTGCCCCAGAACTGCACCAATTTTCTTGGCCACCACAATGGTTATATTTAGCAACGGAACGCCATGCATTTGTACCCAAAAGGACGCCATGGATGCCACCACCTCCTGCACGTCCTTCCTAGGCTGGATTTCAGAAAGGAGTACCAAATGTTCCTTATAAGACTAGGGCTCCATGTCCAAAACACGAAGCATGTCCTGTCTGCTTGCAAATCGAATCAGAAACCGCCGCTCATCAATCTCTTTTATCGAAACTCCATCTCCCCCATACCATAATTTATCAAAAACCCCCACAAACCCGTCAGAGTATACCGCCTTAGAAGTCAAAACCTCAGCTACTAATGAAAACCGTGAACCTCGCATAAGATCGATTCCATCCCCTGCCTCAATCCGAATCCCACCTCGTTCACGTTCTGACAACCGTAGGTGGTTGCCAAACCGTTTCTCTAGATCCTCCATGCTTCAAATCACCACACCCTTGCTGCCCATGCAAACCAGGTCCACCCTCGCAGGCACCGAAAACCCCGCTACAGACACCGTGATCCCGCACGATATTGGCCCACCAAAGAGGAAGAAGGCACGTCCAGAATCTGCTATGTCGAAATTGCAAAGCCAGCTACACACGGAAGCACGGAAGCCCTAGCCGCCTTAAGAACCCCTAGCCGCCTTAGGAACCCTAGCCCACCTCCTCTCCTTTCGAGAGACTTCTCAATACCAACATTTACTAGAGAGCATAATTGGAGTTTAAATTTTATACAGAGCTCCTAAAATAACTTTGATATGTTTTTAGCTAAAATTTAACTAAAAAATAGAGAGCATGATTGTGGATGCTCTAACCCATATTTCATACCTACTTATTTATTCCCTTTTTTTTAAAAAAAAAAAAATCAAATAGAAACTTCATTAGATAAACTTCAACGGGACAATTAAAGACATCAATAAGACATCTAAAATACCAATCCCAAGAGGGCAACAAACTAACATACTAAAAACAAAACTAACGCGGACAAAAGCCGTACTAAAACTACTAGCTCATATCACCACAATTAACCATAAGCCCAAAATTTATTTGGTAATTTTTATGGATGAACAACGAAAATATTTATCTCTAAATGCTCAATTTCTAAGAACACTCCTAATTAAATGATACAAAATTATAAAATTTTCTTTGAGAACCTAAAAATGTTTATGATGCTTCTTTAATAATGATTTAGAGGAGCACGACCGCAAACATTTTCTCCATCGTTCGAAAAATTAATGTACACAATATACATAATATTACAATTTGTAAACCAAAATCATGCTTGAATTTATAATGCTTTTAAGTTACAACACATTATTATTATTATTATTTTTAAGGTTTAAAAATAGTGATAGTAAGCATTTCGATGTAACAAAGCTTAATTAATTTAAAATTTTAATTAGAACAAAGCTTACAGCATGAACAAGTATCTCTCTCTGCACCCACCAATGTTATTAAATAATCTAAGAATTAGTGGTTTTGTGTATGTTTTTAATGTGGTAACGGCTACATGACGTGTGTTGTCCCACTTGAGCTTGGTGGATATGGAATTTTGGATCTTTGACTCGATGATCACATGGCATTATTGAAATCTCCGGCCTTCTCTTGTCAGCATTGAAATCTCCAAAACCAAATCTTACTACTCTAATAATAATACACAACTATCCAAATTACAAAACTGAAATAAATAAATAAATAAAAAATAGCAAGGCTTTCTTGTTAAATATATGACATGTTAAGAATTTAATACTATACACTATACTTCATCACTTGGTAGTATAACAATGTAACATGTCATATCTCTTGGCATAAGTAAGTTCTCTTGCAAATCGATCAATGCCAAGTAATTTACGTCGTATTAAGAATTAACAAACGTTGATCGAATAGAACTCACTAAAAACCTAACGCTACTCATCAATGGTTGAAAATTATTCCCGTCAAACCTAAACTATAAATAGTTTGACAAACAAACAAATGAACTATGATAAAGTTCGACAAATGCTTCCGGTTAATAAAATTTACTTCTTTTCAATAAGGTATATGAAATTCCATGCTATCGTTGCTCCCCACTACCGGCTCCTCTAATACGGTGTCGTTTTCAGGACTTCCCCACTACCAAAAGTCCCTTATAACCGTTGTAAAGCCCTCTCAGTCTAATATTCCTTTCAAACCGACCCACGCGCCCATTCTCCAACCGTTTAAACCCCACTCTCTCTCTCTCTCTTCTGAACCTCCAAGAACACCACATGTTCTCCCTCACAAACTTCAAGCTCTCTGCTTTTGCAAACAAAAACAAAATCCCACTTCTTTTCACTCAACACCAATCGAATTCTCCACAGCCATGGCTCCAAGAAAGCTTCTTGTTTTCTGGGTCGTCTTCATGAGCCTCTTCTTCTTCTTCACAGACCCGCCTTTTGCCTCCGCAGAAAACGTGAACTTTGATTTCCCCTGCTTCAATTTCCGAAACCTCACCTTCCTCGGCGATTCCCACATCCGAAACGGCGTGGTAGGCCTCACTCGTGAGCTCACCGTGCCGTCCTCAAGCGCCGGAACTGTAATCTACAACAACCCAATTAAGTTCTTCGACCCTGAAGCCAATATCACAGCTTCCTTCTCCACAAGGTTTTCTTTCTCCATCACCAATGTCAATCCGACCTCGTATGGAGACGGCATGTCGTTTTTCCTCTCACCTAATAACAGGATACTTGGCAGCCCAGGAGGTTATCTGGGTCTTGTTAATTCCTCCCAATTAACCAAGAACAAGTTCGTGGCCATTGAATTTGATACCAGGCTCGATTTGCATTTCAAAGACCCCAACGATAACCATGTTGGTTTGGACATCGAGAGCCTCACTTCAATAAAGACCGCAGATCCAATCTTGCAAGATGTTGAATTCAAAAGTGGGAATTCTATTACAGCTTGGATTGATTACAAGAATGACCAAGAAAGGCTCAAAGTGTATTTGAGTTATTCGAGTTTCAAGCCCGGAAAACCGGCTTTAAGTGTGGATATTGACCTCTCTGAGTATCTAAAGGAGGTTATGTATGTGGGTTTTTCGGCTTCGACTGAGGGGAGTACTGAGGTTCATCTGATTGAGAATTGGAGCTTTCATACATTTGGGTTTGTTCCTACAAGACCAAGATTGCAGCCTCACAATGTGTCTGATACAGATGTGGTGGTGAGTCCGAGGATTCCGGTATCTGGTTCCACCAATAAGCACCACAAGAGGCTTGGTTTAGGCCTTGGGATTGCTGGGCCGGCCTTCTTTTGTGTCGCTCTGGTGGTTTTTGGTTATGTTTCTGTGAGCAAATGGATGAACATGAGAAGACAGAAAAGCTTCAAAGCAGAGGTTATAGCAGGGCCAAGAGAGTTCGGTTACAAAGAGCTCAAGTCAGCCACAGGAGGGTTTCATTCTAGTAGGATTATTGGTCATGGAGCATTTGGAACTGTGTACAAAGCCTTTTTTGTCTCTTCGGGGACTATTTCTGCAGTGAAAAGATCCAAGCATTCCCATGAAGGTAAAACTGAGTTCCTTTCTGAGTTGTCTATTATTGCTGGTTTGAGGCATAAGAATTTGGTTCAACTCCAAGGTTGGTCTGTTGAGAAGGGTGAATTGCTTCTTGTTTATGATTTCATGCCTAATGGGAGCCTTGAAAAGGTGCTTTACCAAGAATCTGGACAAGGTACCTTATTGGATTGGTACCATAGACTAAATGTTGCAGTTGGTTTGGCATCTGTTTTAACATATCTGCATCAAGAATGTGAACAGCAAGTTATTCACAGAGACATAAAGACTGGAAATGTGTTGCTCGATGGGAATTTTAATGCGAGACTTGGTGATTTTGGATTGGCAAAGCTCATGGATCATGATAAGAGCCCTGTTTCTACGCTAACGGCTGGAACAATGGGATACCTTGCGCCTGAGTATCTTCAGTACGGGAAGGCAACTGAGAAGACTGATGTTTTTAGCTGTGGTGTGGTCATCCTTGAAGTGGCTTGTGGGAGGAGACCAATAGAGAGAGAACCAGGCAGTCTCAAAATGGTGAATTTGGTGGATTGGGTTTGGGGACTGCACTCGGAAGGAAGGATTATCGAAGCAGCTGACAAGAGGTTGAATGGGGAGTTTAAAGTGGAAGAAATGAGGAAGCTGTTACTTGTGGGTTTAAGTTGTGCTAATCCAGATAGTGCAGAGAGGCCTACAATGAGGAGAGTTTTACAAATCCTGAGTAATGAGGCAGAACTTCTAGGCGTGCCAAGGGTGAAACCAAGTCTCAGTTTTTCTAGTGGATTGCCTTTGTCTATTGATGACATTGTTTCAGATTGTGAAGAATGCAGCAGCCCCACCAGCTCTATGTGTGAGATCATTATTAACTGAAATAGGTTTCATGGTTTATTAGGCAATATATGCAGATTGCGTAGTTTATAGATAGATGAATTCTTTTGTTCTTTACTTTTTACCACTGCCTTTTTTATCCTGTAATTTGAAGATTAGAGACTGTAGAGTTCACTGGCCTGAGTTCAAACCTATCTATTGAACTGTGTGGTCTCTGCTTTATCAGGACAAAAGAAGCTTGCTTGAATATTTCATTTGTAATGACTCGTTCAAGTAACATCTCTTGTAATCGATTTTCTTTGTAGTGACAATGAAAGATTTGTAACTGGTTTAAGAGTTGAATGTACACAGAAATGATTTCTATACTATTCAATCTTATTAGTTTTATGACTTTTTGTTTTTTTGGGTAGTGTGTTCTGTAACTTGCTTATAGCTCTGGGGGGGGTACATCTCTTCACTTTGGTTTGACACTGGCATTAGTTGCAAGAATTATTTGGATAATACCTGAGAAACCCTGAAAATCTTTGGATTACATTGCTTTCTTCCCCTCATTTTAGGTAGAACTTTCGGATAATGGCCTAAGAATCTATGTCTAAAGCGGCTTTCAAGAAAAGGGGAAACAAATTCTAACCCCTTTTAACTCCTATCAATCCCTGTTATAAAGTAAATTCAAACTGGTACAGAAGCATAGAAGTAAAAAGTTTGGATGAGTTCTTATGAGAATTCTAGTCTAAATCAGCACAATAATTAGAAACTGACAGAATCCTAATTCAAACCAAAGCAGAACACACTAAAGAGATATTGCCAAACTCTAGGTGACAGGGCTTGTAGTAGCAATGTTGAATCAAAACTCTGCAATATTATACTTCTCCAATGGAATTGAATTGTGCCACCAAGCATGGAGCTCCACATTATTTCACTGAATTCTCATAATAGCCTTTTCTGTGATCTCCCTCTCCGATCCTGGTTTCTGCTGGTGCTCCGATCTTTCCTTGCAAAACGTTACAGGCTTTTCATGTTCCCTTCACATAGAGGATAAGCCAGGAGTATGGCACTTTTAAGTCCCTCACAATCCAGCAGATAATTCTTGTATCATTCTTCTACACACTGTAGGTCATGAAAACCAAAAAGAAAATATGTGCCGATTTCAAGGCAGTCACAGTTTACAACATAAACAAAGGTTTTCTGCGGAACATTTCAATGTTGGTGCACAAAATGGATGACAATATCTGTACTACGTACTAGTAGAAACCAAAAGATTATTAGCAAAATGCATAGCCAATTGATGGACTGTGCTTCACTATGAAAATAATGTAAACTGACCTTATTTGAGCAAGAGCTGAAAAATAATTCAAAAAATTTAAAAGAAAGGGCTTGCTTTCTTTGATTCCTTTTTCTACACATGCAAAGTGAGAAGGGATATATACTTTTTGAAGTACTTTGGAAATATTTTACAAAGAAATGGTTCAACACCAAAGAGCCTGCAGAGAGAGAAAATGACATGTCCTTTTTTTTTTTTTTTTAAATTTTTTATAGAAAGAGAATTCATTCATAGAACCAAATTCGTACAAAGAGCGACATGATACAGTGGCCTCATTAAAATCTTCCTAGGACAACCTCATGGGACAAATCAGGGGAGGAAAGAGTATCACATATGTCATGAACTAATAAGAGAGTACAATTCAGGTCACTTTGAACCATTACAATAAAATAACAAATCAAAAACGAAAACTAACACAAAGACCTCTGACGAGAACCGCAACTAGAGACCAACATAGTAGACCCACATGAGAGGAGTAAATCTGCAAGAGAGGACCGCAGAACATCACAACTTTCAAAAGAAGCCCTCTATGAGCAAAATCATAGTCCTTTGACACCCACACAAACTGCAAGGCATACCATAGCAGAAACTAGGAGAGAACACGGAAATGACCCCTGAGAAGCATTCCAATTCAACTCAAAACCTGACAAAGAAATCCTATTATGACCAAGCATAGTTCTTCGGTTGAAACAGAGACAAAACATCAACCACCAGGTATCACAACTCTCCCTAGGAGAGACACAATCCAACGTCACTACTGTCGTCGCCGCCGAGACGAAGACAACACCAGTCACCTAGAACACTGCAAAAACAACCAAACAAAACAAATAGACCTAGATCCAAACATATCTAAACTATCTGGGGAGGGGAATGGGAGGAGAAGAGGGGATAAGAGGAAGGGAAAAGATGGGAGAAAAAGAAGGGGAGATGAGGAGAAGAAGGGGAAGATGGACGGAGGGGCAGTGGCCACCTCCCCCTTAGCTTCCTTCCAATTAGTTATCAGCAAGGAGAAAGGGGACCAGGGTGCTGCTAGGGTTTTTTTTTTTTTTCCTCTCTCTCTCTCTTATTCTGCGGTAAAATGACCTGTCCTTGTAAGCTGCAATTTTCTACTTGACAGAAAGTAAATAAGAGATCAATGCAACTTGAAAAGTATTAATTGGTACAAAATTGACACATCCTTGCTTCAATTGGTGACAACTGCTACCTCTTTCTTCTGTTTACCTTTAAAGGAAAACTTATACAGAATCATATGCATAAAATTATTTTTACAGATCCACAAGAAGAAAGAAATTTTTAGTTTGCATTCAAATTAACACATATCATGTTGATGAGAAGACCTTGCATATGTGTTAGATAGATGCAGATCAGACGGTGCTGGTAACATCACAGATGTGGGAATGCAAGAGATGATGACAGAAGAACAGAGAGCACACTCCCAACAGTGGCAAAGATCTCTTTGGCCAATGGCGGGTTGTGCTCTCTCTCTTCTGTCAACATAATCTCTCAGCTCATTCACATTCACATCCATCCACCCTCAATGCCACAAGGCATGCATTCATCCCTGCCAGTGTAAAAACCATGAATTTGGATAATGCATACAAAAATCAATCATAAAAACTTGCCTTTTGACCCAAGAAGTATTACATATATGATCTTGATGTTTTTTTTTTTATCAACATATCCCTCACTAATATGAAAGTTATATCAAAACAACAGAGTTGCATATATATATATAGAGAGAGAGAGAGATGAAAAACAAGAAAGTTAAGAGAAGGCTCAAAGAAAACCACCACTTTCTTTCTTTCTTCTCCTTTCCATGACAAATTAAGAGGAAGTAAAACCACCAAAAAATAACTGTTGAGAAACAAGGACTAATGAAGCAGAACAAATACGTATAAGCTAAAAACTCATCTGCAAAGACTACTTTGAGTCTCTGTGAGAGTGAGAGATACGTATAAGCTAAAAACTCTACCACAATGGAACAGTTACTGATGGATACCTCCTCTTATAGGGACCTTTAACTCCTCTTATAGGGACCTTTTGCCACTTGCTGTAACCGGTGACTTTTGAACTTTGACCGGCTAGTGAGGTTAAAATGGTCCTTTGAACACATTTATTTATGCCTCTGTTGAGTGAGAGTGAGAGATACGTATAAGCTAAAAACTCTACCACAATGGAACAGTTACTGATGGATACCTCCTCTTATAGGGACCTTTAACTCCTCTTATAGGGACCTTTTGCCACTTGCTGTAACCGGTGACTTTTGAACTTTGACCGGCTAGTGAGGTTAAAATGGTCCTTTGAACACATTTATTTATGCCTCTGTTGTAATTTTAGCAGTTTCTTTCTACAAATTTGGATTAAAACCCTTCACTATCACAGACTCACAGTTATTATTAATGTGACCAAGAATTATTCAAAATGTGTATTTAATTAAGCAGCAGAAAATGACGTCGATAAAGAACCGTGTAAGCAACCTCTGTAAACCAAAAATGGTGTCAGACCAAAAAAAAAAAAAACCATAAATGGTGAGGAGGATGTTGACCGGCTATTCAGGTCAGGTGGATCCAATTTAATTCTCTCACCTTACCAATACAATGCAATAACCACGCGTGATGCAAGAGAGGGGCATGGTTTTCGTGACTGTGGAGAATATCTTGACCGTTGAATGATGACACGTGGAGGACATGCAGGGTGGTTAGGTTGGTGATTTGGTATATGGCTAGTGGCTTGGCTTGATGACTCTCTGATGGAAAAATTCTGCATATTGCAGAATTCTGCATTCATGTTTGAGTTATTATCATTTCATTTTCTTTGAATTTACAGTTACTTGTTTGAAGATGATAAATAAACAAAAAAAAATAAAGAAATTAAAAGCATTGTAAAATTGTATTGTAATTTCTTCTAAGGGTTAAAAACGTTGAACATTAAACCTTGTGTACAGCTTCTGATAAAAACCCTAAAGACTGATAATTTTCCAAAGCTTTTATACAAAGGCTTCAAGCCAAGCTGAGATGCAAAAAATAACAGCAATGAAAATCAAATCACTCATACATATAATTACTTGGCTTTAAAAACAAAAGCCATTTTAGTACGTATAATTACATTTGTTTTCTTCCTAATGTCAAATTCCTAACAGTATACAAAAATCTCAATAGGTAGAATCTGTATAAATTTGTTTGAGTAATTGAGTCAGCAAAACACAAAAGCAGGATTCACTTCATTTTTTTCACCGAAGCTCTCACGTTCTAGGCTCTCCATTGCTGCCTCAGATTCAATCAATTTATTTTTCCGTTTAGTACCAACCGCGTCTGCCTGATCCGCAAACAAGATCTTTGAGCTGGGTGAACTGCAAATGTCTTTGTAAGTTTCATAATTAGCAGCTTGGGTATTTCCACCTTCCAAAAGTCCAGCTAGAGGATGCAAAACTGAGACCGGACCATCATTTCTCTCTAAAGTTTCCTTCAAAATAAGAAATTCAGAGACAAATTTTTCCTTGTTAAACTGAACGAATACTGCAGTTTCATCCAAGTGGTAGATAGACGTGATAGATGTCGGGCCAAAGACTTTTGAGATGCATTCTCGTATGTCCCGTGCCTTGAGTTTTGATGGGAATCCCCAGATTAAAGCAATGTTCTCAAACAAAATCTCTGGGTACCTCTTTTTGTGGTTAGTATACCCCAAAGATACTGCATTCTTCTTACCACTGGTTAAATCAATAATGTCTCTATTACTCCAACTAAGGTATAGAAGGTTGATGTGCTTCTGCAGCTTCTCATTGTGGGCCAAATGTTCAGACGGCAAAAACGACTGAAAATCAATCCCTAGATGACTGCATGTCTGAGCAAAC